AGGTGGGGGTTGGTCTCTCCTCCCAGGCAACCAGCAGCAGGACAAGAGGGCACAGACTCAAGCGCTGCCAGGGGAGGGTTAGGTTGGATATTAGGAAGAGATTTTTGACAGAGAGAGTGCTCAGGCATTGGAATGTGCTGCCCAGGGAGGTGGTGGATTCACCATCCCGGGAGGTTTTCAAGCTGAGACTGGATGTGGCACTTAGTGCCATGGTCTAGTGACCACGGTAGGGTTGGACTCGATGATCTTTGAGGTCTCTTCCAGCCTGGCTGATTTATGATTCATTCTGTGATTCTGTAAGAAATGGTGAATTTGCCTACATGTCTCATTGGTTAAGGACCTGCATGAAGAAGGTTGACAGGAGGCTGTGTTGTTACTTCATGTTTTTATCCATCTGATTCCGACCCACAGTTGCTGATTTTTCTCACATCAAACATTTATATGTGGCTTAGGGGACTTAAGTAGTGTTTGAAGTGTCATTGTAGGTTTGATACACATTTTGCTAGCAGCAGTAGGCTTAAAGAGCTTTTACTTATATTCCAATCCTTCACTTGTGCTAATGCTGTTGTTTATGGGGGGCTACACAATGAGCTGGTTTGGGAAACTGATCCAGTTAAAAAATCCTTTTTTTTCTGGATATTAATAACTCAGTTCAGTTCTGGCATCCAGTTGGCTGTAGTACTCTAAAAATGATTGTGTCAGCACAAATGAGAGGCAGTGTTTGGGAGTGTTTCTGAATCAGCAGTGCTGTGAAACTATGGCAAAAAACTGTTCCTTTTCATTTCTCAATTGCCTGGCTGGATGCTGCCCTGAGACTGCTTTGAGTCTTTAATGTCTTTTTCTACTCTCTGCAAGTACCTGTCAAACAGATCTCATTTATAAGCAAAGCTTCTTAGTTAATTCTTGTGTTTATAAAACACAAATTTAGAGTTGGTACCACGATCTCAACTGAATGTGGCAGATAAACATGTTACTGGTGAAAAGCATCTGGGCCCAGATGTTGTAGCCATACATTGGTAGGTTGGGTCCAGAATGGCTTTTTGTGGTCTGAATGGGAGGGTGGTCACTTGTTACACAGGACAGGTGTGTTTTTCTGGCCCTGTGTTTATAGGTAAGTGTCACTGTGATGGGCTGATGTGGCATCTTGCTGTTCCACACTGTCTGCACCCTTGAAGATGGAGAAAAGGCTTTGTGTGTTGACTTAGCGTGAAACAGCTTGAGAACAGAACACAAGAAATGTTGGGGGATCTGTTTCCATCTGCTGCTTCAAAGAGGGTATAAACTACTTATTTGGCTTAGTATAGAAGGCCTGTGAGATGGGTGGAGTCCTCTAAACCAGTTGTTTGGGTTAAACAGAAGGTCTGTGAGATGGGTGGAGTCTTCCTCATTGGTTAATTTTGGCCTGTTTTTTCTCGATTGCTTTAAAGAGACACAACAGCAAAGTCTTCAAGATGCTTATTCGTGTGAGTTATATAAAAAGGTGCACAGAGATTATATTTTGTCTTCCGAGTTATCTGTTGATAAACTAGTGTGGCATAATAGATTCTGTAAAATAGAATTGAACTGTTGCTCAGCATTAAATGGTGCATGTAAGTAGCAGAATACATAATATAAATTCGACAATTTTCTGAAGTTGCGTAAGTGTGTAAAATGGAAAGAGGTATTTGAGCCATCTAGTGGTTGGTATGAAACATTTGAACGTTTTTTGGTATTTCATAGAAGATGTAAATGATGTCAGCTTGGAAATTGCATTTCTAATTTGTCTGCTTTAAAGGAGCTCGGCTGTAGAATGAAAAGATCCAAACATTGCACCTCAGATTTGAGGCATAGTCTGTTGCAGTTTGCAGCCTTTTTCTCCTAGATTTTAGTGAAAAGAGAGATCTAATAACACAAATTAGTAGTAGCCAAAGAATGAGTTTGACTCTAGTTTTTCTCCTAGATTGGCTCTAGTTTTTCTCATAGATTGGCTCTAGTTTTTCTCCTAGATTCTAGTGAAAAGAGAGATCTAATAACACAAATTAGTAGTAGCCAAAGAATGAGTTTGGCTACCATAAGGTCTTCATAAATTGTGGGGTTGTTAAGAAGTTCAAAGAAAGGATTGTAATAAGATAATTTTATTTCCTACTTCTTACTGAAAAATGTTTGGAAAGGAGAAAATTTGGTTTAAATTCTACCTTACCAGCTATTTATAGCAGGGGCTAAATTATAAGAGTAATCTTTACTGGAACACATGGAATGGATATTCATTGTGGGAAGCTTGTCAAATAGAAGTAACAGAGCCAACTGAAAACAGATTTTGTAAGATGGAGAGTGTTCCTGGTAAAGAGAGTCACAGATTCTTAGGATTTTAAGAAAAAGGACATGTTGTAGACAAAAATTGTAAGTAATGATCCTGCTTTGTCCTCATCTGCATTAAGCTGTTCAAGCCTCTTGTATTGACTGTTACCAGTTGGAATTTGGTTGTGTTTGAACTTGATAGTATTCTGCTAAAGTAATGAACTTTATTTGCATCTTGCCTCTAATTATTTATGGGAAAGTACTGGCATACATTGGAACACTGTAATATCTCCTGTCCAGGTTCAAGTGCAGATTAAAAGATGAGTTTTAGTCTTCGATTGGTCTTAGTATTACCAACAAGCAGCACTAATGGTGTCACGTGTGGTTAGAGCTGTAGTATTTCAGGACAGATAAATTTACAATCCACACTGACATTTCAGAGTTTTCACCTTTACATTTGAAGTCTTACAGACTTAAATCTTGCCCTGTGTTTTTGGAGAAGACAGTGGCAGCTTAACATATTTTTAAGGTCAGTCTCAAGAGCTTTGTAAGGCTAATGGAGAATGGGAGAAGAATGAGAAAGTCACACAGAACAAGGGACAGAGCAGTGATGGTCTGTTTGTATTTTAGTGGTGTGAGGACCATCTAAAATCTTGATGTGAACTCGATACATAAATCACATTTGGACAAAATCACCTGTGTCTCGGCTCTGTGGTGCCTGTTGGTTATTAACCCTTAGGATCAGAGTATCAGGGAGATGATTCTGAAACTGTAGCTTGCTCAGATTGTGAATTCTAATAGGTTTCATAAGAGGAAATTAAATTCTTTGCAGACTGAGGAGGTTTTAGTTGTCTGGCATATTTTTGTTTGAATTTTGCAGAGTAGTAATGGAGGATTTTTCTTAGCACTACTGTTCTCAGTCTTTACAATGATCTAGACTGTGGTTGAGGGATTTTGGTGGGGACACTGGACAGTTTTGTTATGTTCCGTTCTACAGACGAGCCTGACCCAAACACAGCAAATGTTCCTGGGTGTGTGCTGTGTTTTGTAGGATTCCATGTTGCACACATGAAAATCTTTCCATCTTACTTGTTCATTTAAAATAGCTTTGAAATCAAGGCATTGCATATGCTCAGCTTTTGAGTCTGCCTTCTTCTTAGTCTGTTGTTGCCAGAACATGCTTGGAAAGCAGAAAACACACAGGGTATGGAATTGGAGATCTTGCATCTTTGCGATGCCCATGTTGTGGTTTTGATCAATTAAACAGGAATGTGGTTTTATGGCTGTATTAAAGTGTGATCTATTGTTTATGCACTTCCCCCTCCACTCCTCGTTAACATCTTCCAGTGCTCTGATTGCCATAGTATCTGGTCATACCACAGCATTTTCTTGGAAGCTGTCCATTGCTGAAGCTATGATCCAGCTGTATTCATGAAAGGATCTTTGCCATTTCCCCTGGGTTTAATTTGCATTTAGAAGATGCAAATGAGGGATAATGAAGTTGTCATACTGTTTCCAATGAATGCTGCTTTTTGAATTGAGAAATTTGGTTATAACCATTGAGTTTAAGGCATAACTTAGGATTCCTTTTGTAGAATTTCTTAGAAATTTGGCTCATTAGAGAAGTAAAAGTGGAAGAGGGATTACCTTGAAGTGCGGTCTTCAGCAGTGGAAATTCCAGCTCTTGTCTGTGTTGGACTTTATACTCTTAAAGGTCTTGTCCAACCTTGATGATTCCATGATTCTGTGTGTCAGGGCTTTGGGATGTATACTTGGTCTGTCAGAATCAGAATTATATATAGGAAAAGCCTAAAAATGTGCCATAGGCAGCATGTACAGTGTTGACTCCTGTAAATAATGGAATAGCTCTGCTAAATAGAAAACAACTGTGCCGTGGCATAACTTTGCAAAAGAAAAAGCAATTTGTTTATTTTTCCTAATTTAGGAAATATGTAATAATTATTTGTATAACTGGGTGGTTAAACATTCATTAAATGCCATTAGTGATTTCACTTCAGAAGTAAATGGTAGTTTCTGTGGAAAGGAAATGAAGGGAAAATGGGTTTCCAGAAGGAGAATGGGTTTTGTTGTTTTGGTTTGATTTTTCCCCTTATGGAAAATGGGGAGTGAGAAAATAGGAATTTGATTAATGATGAAGAAATGTGATTGTCATAGATTTGAAGCTGATGGTTTGGGGTTTTTTTTGGCATTCAGAGAAGTGAAATTTCCTTAAGCATATTTTCAGATTCATTTAACTAATGTTCTACATTAGACACTGAAATTAGGGGGTGTAGCTTTGTCTATTTTTCTGTGAGTATAAATTATTGTGACGATGAAATAGTGTTTGGTCATAAATTTTTTTTATATTATATTAAATTGCCAAAGATTTCTAGTCCATCATTTCCTTCCCTGCTGTTGTACAAATAGAACAAAGCACATTGGTTTCTCTGATGTAAAAGCACTTGAATGTTATTGTTACTTTACCTCCAAAAATAACCCTTTTTTTGTGATCATGGAGAATCACTTTTTTTTTTTTTTTTTTTAATGTCTACCTATCTTTTCATTCCATCTGTTTGGTTCTTGCTGTTCAAGGTGAATTTTAAGTATGCTTATTTTATAATGGAAATAGAATGTCAAAGGATGGATAAAATATGGGAAACTCAATCTTACAGCCTGTGGTTGTCTTACCTGGGTTTTAAACATATTTTTTTTTCCCTTTACAGAATGCTGCCTTTTTATATGGCCTTGGTTTGGTCTACTTCCATTACAATGCCTTTCAATGGTAAGTTGGAACACGCTGACAGTGTCAGGATTGTGTGGAGTTTTGTTGGGTGTGAATATTTCACCTTCAGTGTGAACGTCGATAGTTTAATTTTGGTTTTATTACGGATGTGATGTTTGCAGCTGTTACTGTTCTGGCTCACATATCTAACTTACTGTAACCTACTTGTGACAACCACAGCAGTTGCTTGGAAAGGAAAGCACTTAGAGGAGAATTTTAGCTCCCTGTAACACGATTCAGCAAGGGAGATGGAGCGGAATGACTCAACAGGCTTTTGTGAATTGCCATTATCCATAGTTTGTAGCCTGTGTTTGTTGGAAAGCAGGTTTAGAAAAACCTTTCTTGGAAAAGAAGTATCAGTCAGCTTGTTTTCTTTTTGCTTTGGTAGTCAGTAATTTTTACATAGCTGTATCCTCTGAAAGTTTTGGATGTGAGAAGCAAAACGCTCAGACTTGAATTGGAGTGTTCAAAACTGATGTAAAAACTCTGATTAAAAGAAGAGTTGTCATTTCTGTCAGGGCTTTGGGGACTGAGAGAAGATGCTCTTGGGTATGGGGGTTGGTTTTCAGTTGGGGTTTTGGTTTTGCTTTCTTAGTGATTAGAGTGGTGAAGGTAATGTTCTCAGTCACTTGGGTTCTGTTGAAGAGTCCTCAGGTTTTCTTTGAGGCTTATTCCTGAGTAGGTGTCATTGGAAAAAAAATCAGAATGGTGCAGTTTTAAGTCAGTGCCTCTTCACACTCAGTATGGAAACTGTTAGTACAGCTATGTGTGACTTAACTACTGGTTGATTGCTAAGAAGTTTCTTTGTCTTACTGAGCTAAGCATGACTGCAGTTATGGAGGCTGCAAGTGACCACCAACTGATGGTTTGGAAAAACCAGGATTTCTCCCTCAAACCTCAGTAAAGTGTTTCTGTATATCTGTAAGACAAAAGATTTTTGCTTTCCTCTGCATAATGTAAATATTTTATTCTTCAAATGAAGATAAGTTGGTTAAATTATGAGCTCAGGACGTGGGTTTTTTTATCTTGGATTTTTTATCTTTGTTGATAGTGGTGAAATGAATGCCATGTCTTGTACATGTCCTAAAACAGCTTTAATAACACTCTCTGGATCCCAGTGGACCAGCTGTGCTGCTCCAAGGCCAGTCTGCAGTGTTTTCAGTGACTCTTATGCTGGACAATGTCTGTGAGAAGACACAACACCTTTCAGGAGGCTGAGACCAGTGCTCCTTATTGCCTTGTTTAGGCTCATTGCCCTGAGGCTCCTCACTCCAAGGATTCCTTACCAGCTGTAGAAGCTGAATGTTATGGAAAACTCACTCCTTCAGCATTGACCCTGAAGAAAGCCAAATACATGCAAGAGATGATCCAGATCCTTTTCCTAACCTTCCTCACGGGTAAAGGTGGACACTGCCTGAGGAAAATTGGACATCTCTGAGTGGAACTTCTCAGCCCATGTACAGCAATTCTTGCTAAAGCACAGTAGTCATCTATTCAGTATCTAGACTCCAAGATACCTAGGACTATTGTCTCTGCTTCTGACATGTTTAGAATAACCTCAAAGCCAGTCCAGTCTGTTTGCACTGCTGCATCCTGACGCTTCTGTAAGGCAGACTGAGATTTCTCCTGGGAAACTGGCAGTGTTTGGAGTTTCTGCTTGGGAAACTCCTTCAATGGAAAGTCAAGGAGGGATATAATTTGAAAGTAGAAATCTCCGTCAGGAGGGTAGAATTTAAATACACACCCTGCAGATATTGCTTTGTCAAGTATTTCCCAGGTTTCAGGTGGTTGGGTCTACAGATGTATCTTCAGGTGTGTAAAATGGGGATGCACATGTAGTCTACATATGCTCATGGTAATTAACCATTAATGAAGTGGCAGTTAGCTTTCTTTGTGTTTGGCTTATGTTTTGTGTTTGTATAGCAAAGCACTTCTTGGACTGATGAAAACTCTGCTAATGCTTTGAAAAAAAAACCTACTCTGAGCTGCTGTTCTGCAGAAATGTTGAAAGACTTTGCTGCTCAAAATATTTCAGCATTCAACTGCTGCAGCCCTATGGGGAGAGAAGTTGTATCTAAAGACTGTGAAAGTATTTAATAAATTGTAGTGTCCCAACTGCTGCTGTGTATGTGCATTTTGTTTATGTTCACTCTGTAATTTTGAGTTTCAGAGAAAAATTAGTCCATCATAGCCTCACATCACTTTCATTAGTGAGGCTATGAAATGGCATGAGGCTTAGGATAGGTGATCAAAAAATTGAAAGAGGATAAGGAAAAGAATAAGAAAAAATTTTGCCCCAGCTGCATTAAGTGACATCTTGGAACTATGTTAGGTTCTTTTATTTTGCAGGCTCACTCTGATTTTCATGGGTTTTGTTTGAAACATATAAAAGTGCTAACTTTTGAATAGTTAAATTGATGCTATTTCATTATATTCTTTTGCCTAGTACAAAGCTGATTTTATTCACAGTCTATTCAAGCAGAACCATCCAATAAAAGTCTTATGAGGGTTCACTAAATGGTGACTATAATATTCTATTAATTATTATTCAGCTGGTTTCTTCACTTTCATAATGGTAGACATTGTTGTATAGATTAGTGGATGGGAAGATAGCTGCAGTATTGATTCTGGGAGTCTTGATCTGGAGATGATAGATTCATGTCATTTTTCCTGAATTGCTGTAGCAGTGCTGCGTAAAATGAGAGGCCAGAGGTGCTTTTCATCCTCTAGTGTCCATTTTTCAGTCCTGCTTTCCAGTTTTGTTGAGTGCTAGGTGTGGCCTTTCCTGCCTGTGAGTAGAAATGTTCTCATGCTGGGAGAAAACACTTCTTGAATTTTAAGAAATTCTAGGAGACTCAACCAGAGTTGTTTCTTACCACGCAGTTGTCAGTATCTTCAGAAAATAAAAGGAAAGTTATCTCTTACTGAATTTAGGCAGCTCTCATTTATTTGTGCAGCATGAGAGCTCCCAGCCCTTCATGTGATAATTTCTTCTTTGGACTCGTGTGTGTTTAGTCTGCTGAAGGAGTAGAATGGAAAGTTCCGTCTGTGCAGAAAGGGCAGTCGGTGGTGGAGACTCACAGCCTACTTGAGGAAGGCTCTGAAGGGAACTGTTTGACTCTTAAGCCAAGTCCTGCTCATATGTGACACATCATCCAGCTGTTAGGTTCTATCTGCTCTTCTGGTTTTGATGAAACCAGAGAAGAGCTTTGAGGGAAAACATCTGGGTAACTTGGATGCCTTGGATCCTCTAGACCCATATCTTTCTGAATGGTAGCTTGGACAGAGGACAGAAATGGGATTGGTGATGTTTCAAAGCAAAGAAAGATCCGTACAGCAATCAAATGACTCCTGCTGTGTCTGGAAGGCTCAATACCATCAAACAGATGGGCCTGGGAGGACTGCAGTTACCAGCTTTGGGCCATGTGGTCTGTTGTTTCCCTTTACTACTACAGCACTTGCTTCTACTTTCCACTCCTCGTGTCCACATCCTACTGTGTTGTACCAGCCTGTACCAAATCCCAGTGCCATCTGCGTTGGATGTTTTTGAGCACTTAAAACTGAAATGGATGTCAGTGTTGCTGCAGATGTTTTGCTGTTGATGTAATGAGAAACCATGAGCTGCAGTGTGTGCTAGCAGTCCAGAAAGCCAGTGGAGTCCTGGGCTGCATCAAAAGGAGTGTGGCAGCAGTTCAAAAGAGGTGATTCTTCCCCTCTGCTCTCGTGAGACCCCACCTAGAATCTGGTGTCCTCAACATCAGAAGGACATGGAGCTGTTGGAGCAAGTCCAGAGGAGGTCACAAAGTTGCTAAGAGGACTGGAGCATTTCCCTATGAGGACAGGCTGAGGAACTTGGGGCTGTTCAGCCTGGAGAAGAGAAGACTGTGTGGAGACCTCAGAGCAACTTTTCAATATCTGAAGGGGCTCCAAGGAGCCAGAGAAGGACTCTGTGTTAGGAACTGCAGTGATAGGACAAGGGGTAATGGGTTCAAATTGAAGGAGGGGAAGTTTAGGTTAGATATTAGAAAAACGCTTTTTCCTGTGAGTGTGGTGAGACACTGGCACAGGTTGCCCAGGGAGGCTGTGGCTGCCCCAACCCTGGCGGTGTTCAATCCAGGCTGGATGAGCCTTGAGCAACCTGATCTAGTGAGGAGGTGTCCCTGCCCATGGCTTGGGACTAGATGATCTGCAAGATCCATTCCAACCCCTAAATTCTGTGATTCTAAGCTCCGGGAGTGGCAATGGAAAACAGGCAACCCCAGAATAAAACTGAACATTTCACTGTAGTCCATGTTCTTGATGGGTCCTGTAACTGTGAGCTCATTACTATTTTGTCTAAATGTTTCCCCTAGGCAAAATTAGATCAATATTAATTCAGCTATGATGTAAAATTGCTTGTCTGTCTATAAGAGTTAATGAGTAAATGTCTTTTCAGAGTTTGAGTATTTTATTCTATAAAAAAATTTACTGACTATTTAAAATGAGTCTGCAGTTACTGAATTAGACATGAGCACCAACACTGGTAGAAACTGTTGTAAATGCTCTTTCACATCACTTCAGTGGTGAAATTTTGATGATGCCCTTTTTCACAGAAGTAGTGGAAATAATTTCTATTTGTCAGTATTCATGTTTGCCATTCTGGCAAAACGACAAATTGTAAAATCAATATGGAATTAGCACTAGAGTTAAGTAAGATGCAGGCCAATATTTTGAATGGAGAAGATAAAATTTGATTTTTAGTCAGAAAAGCTGCTTTGGGGAATATTTGGTGCGTTCTTACAACATTTTCTCCTTAAATTACTCATGTAATTATGCTTCACTGTATGTTTATTTTTATCGTACATTTCAGAATTCTATTCTTTTTTTGTTATGGAATTCGAGGATACAGAATTTAGGATACAAGCAAGACACACCCAGGAGTTCCCTAGAAATCTGACTTCATATGGATTCATTTTTAAATGTAAATTCATCATGTGTTAGAAACTGTAGTAAAATTTCTGAGCGGAGAGTCCTTCACAAATCTACCAGAGACTGGTGAAATGAACTCTGCCCATTTCCTTGCCAAGTCAAGATGAGATAAACCTGACACAAACCTTGGAGGGGCTCTCTGTGACCAGCAGGTTCTGTGCTACATGTGGCACAATCTTTTCATGTTGTCCACTGATGATAATTCACTGGTTTTTAAGTGCTGTGCTCCTCTGAAAGACTGGGGTAGGCAACATTCTTGTTCTTTTGAATGTAAGACAGCTTACATTCAAACTGAATTTCAAAACTGTCCTTAAAAGTCTCTTATTATTCTTGTGGCTTTGTTTAACTCAAACTTTTGTTGCTAAAATATGGCAGTGAATAGTATTTCCTGTTCAGTGAGCAGAAGACTACAGAAATATTTTTGTCTCCTGCAGATTCTCTGAAGCTTTTCTAGAAATCCACTTTCAGTGGTCTTTGTGACTGAGACATGATATAGGGGCCATATGGGAATACTATTTTCTGACCAGACAGCCTGGCTATAATGAAGATTGTGAAGTTCACAAAGTGTATGTGAGCATGGTCACAATCTCCAGTGCATTACAGAGCTGCAGGGTCTTTATTCCTGGTTTTTGTCGTGTCTTTGATAAGGATCATAGACAGTGATTTTCTTGTTTTTAGAAGTCTTTGAGCAAGATACAAATAATGGGTTTTAAATACCAGAGGGTAGCCTATATTATATTTAAGCACATTATATTTAAGACAAGAAATGCAGATACACAATCATCTAATCTTTCCTTTGACATAACAACAGCTTAGCTTAAAACACCTGCTCAGCTTTAGTGATCAGTCCAGCGTTTGGCCTTTCAGCTTGAGCAGTGTTCTTGTAGGTGATGAGGATGAGTGTACTCTTAAGAGATAGGGATTCTTCTTTGTTATGATTTCAGTGTGGTTACTGTGGTGTGAGAATCACCACCACCCATGTGATTCCAAGGAACTTTAGATGAGATGTGAGAGACAGCCTAGCTGGGACAGGCTTGTCCCTTCAGCGCTTCACTCACTCATTTTCCTTGTGTAGGCAGAAAAGTAGGGTACAAGGTAAGGAAGACCCTTCTGAAGGATTGTAATAGAGGAAGCTTCAGTTCCAGAATAAAAATATAATACTTTAAGCCCATCTGCTCTTAAGTTCTATTTAAAGAAGTCCAATAATGCTTGAGGTACAAACAGTTGTTGCATTGTCTAGAGGAAATTCCGTGTGTTTGGTTTGCTTTGCTGTCAGTGAGAAAAAAGCCTCTTGGAATTTTAGAGCAAACGTGTTCTTGCTGATGGATTCAAAAATGATCATTTATATGTTTTGTGAATTAAAAAGTCTATGGAAAATATTGATTGCATTTGCCATTGCAGCTGCTAACCTTTTGTCTTTATAAATAGTACTGCACTTGTAGAGTGGGGATTAAATGGCACCGTGGTTAATTCCTGTCCCATGTTCCTGTGCTGCTCCACAGTGGGTACAGCTCTCCCCATAGCCAGTGCTGTCACTGCCCACTCGGTGTTGGTCTCAGGGTTTGCCTGGGGTGGCAGGTGGGACTGTGCTCCCTGGCCTGGGGCTTGAATCAACCCCAGGTGAGCCTGGTTCTGATTTCTGTCCTTGTGTGAGCAGTGATCTGTGGGAAGGTGTTTTCTTTCAACCTGTCATTGGATTTCAGGTGACAATAGGTCTTAGCTTCTCAATTCCTCTGTGACTTTAGTTCTGTTATCTTTTAGTTGCATTTCAGCTGTCCTAGTTCTGTGCAGTTGGTGTGAGAGGCAAAGCAGTGCTGTTTAGAATCACGTTGCTGCTGCTCTAAGATAAAGTTGTTATATAGCATTTTTGTTTCATGTGGTACAGTGCCATCATGAACAGGGGCGAGTGAGAGAGGGTTTGAATGTAAGGAAGTAGAATCAGAGCCATCTTGACCTGTCTTGAGAATAGGAAGCCAAGTTACAGGGGGAGGAGGTGGCAGAATTTCATATCTATGTTTCCTGGAAGTAATTGAGTGACTCGGAAGTATTGGAGCAATGGGTGTTGTAGAGTCCTTGCATGGCACTGGTGCTAGGAAAGGGAGGACAGGGTGGAAAATGGAACATGTTGATGCAGGGGGAGATGTGCCTCATCTCTCCTAGGCCTACTGTTCTGCTGCTGCTCTCGGGGGCCACCGAAATCAAAAGCAAACCTGGCTGTTGGTGGTGACAACAGTCACTGTATTGTATTGTCTAAAGTTGCACCAATTTTGTAACTAATTCCTGAGTCATCCTTTCTGAAATATCAATGTTACTCTATTTCACACAGCAAATTAGTTTCTCTAAATTAATAGAAAAGATTAGACTATCAAATACACCAGGATATCTGGAGTACAGAATTACCCAATCCTTGAAGAATCGAAGGCCATGCACCAGAGACACTACATGTAAACCATTATTCTGACCTGTTCTTCTGCAGCAGTGCTTTCTGATCCACTTTGTTAGTCATATAAATAACATGGAGTGTAAAGAATACTTGAGTACAAATTAATTATTCTATCTGTGTTTTTCTTTCAGGGCAATTAAAGCATTTCAGGAGGCGCTTTATGTTGATCCCAGCTTTTGTCGAGCCAAGGAAATTCATTTGCGACTTGGGCTTATGTTCAAAGTGAACACAGACTATGAGTCTAGTTTAAAGGTAGGTTTAAGTCCTTTCAAATTGAATTAAATTTGTTACAAGTTGTGTTGTTTTTTAGAACTGCAAGGGATGCCTAAGTACCTGTGTAAATACCTATGTGGGTGATATGAACGTCATCTGCTGTAGAAATGGAAGTGTCTTGGTCTGAACAGAATAGGATGTGAGGTGTGTTAGGTGCTATATATGCTCAGGAGAGTCTAGCAGTATTACAGATGAGCACTGATACTCCAGAAGATCAGATATTTGCTGTAAGGCTGTCATAAAAATGTTGTATTTTGGGGGCAGACGGTGCGTGTACAGAAAGTTGAAGGAAAATATGAAAGAGTTAGTAGCTTGGATTACTCAATTTTTAATCTTTTTTCCCCTAGCTACCTATTGTTTCAGCTGTTTTCATCTCAGCTGTGGATTTAGGGTAGAGTCCTGAAAGTGATCGACTTTGGAAACAAAATGTTATTGATTGAAAACATTTCAGTTTATGATTCAGAAGATGTCAATTGAGGAGTAGACTGAGTAGAACAAGGAGGGTTAGTGGCCACTTTAGGAGCCAGTCTGACTGAGATTTATAAAAACACCTTAAGCCAGAACTCTGAGTGACAGGGATATGTGAGGCAAATCAGAAAACGCTTCCTTAGTGAGGAGAAAAAGTGAAGTGCTGGTGCAATGGTTATGTGCAAACATGGGGAGAATCAAATGAGGAAGGGACACGATGAAAGAG